AACCTAAGGCATCAAATGCCACACTAACAAAGCATGGCAAGGGATGAAATATAGCATATAATCATACATTTTCCAGCTCTGAAATGATATGCAAGATGGTCCCGAATCATGCAAATATGTCACACAATGCATGCTAGATGGCTCGAATACTGAAATTAGTGAAGTGCGTTACACTAGAGGTATACAAAGCAATGCACAAATGGAAAAACCAGCCCCAAACAGACCCTAGGTAGGTCCAAGACAGTGGGAAAATGGCCTAAAAAGATGGCTCAAAATGCATGGAAATGAAGCTCATTTAATGGCTCAAAAATAAGGCATACAAGCATAACTCTCAAACATATTGAAGGAGTGATGAACATGTGAATATGGAAACCTTATATGCTCTGAAATATCATGCTTGATGATGCCAAAACATGCCAAGGGTCCAAACAACGCATGCTAGTGGACCTGATATGCAAAGCTAGTGAGCTTAAATTGAACTACGGCCATATACCACAATGCATGCATGACCCAAAACACTTCAAATAAAGCTAAGCCAGCCCAAAATATGAATAAAATTAGTTTGGATCATGGCCAAAATATGCTAGGAAAGAGGGCCAAAACATCATGCAATACAAGCTAGTGAACCATGATTTACACTACAACCATATGAAGCACATGAGAGGCCACCAAACCAGCCAAAAATAGAATCATGGCAAGTCAAATGAAGCCCAAAAACCCACTTAAACTTGACCAATGCATGCAAGAATGATAGGCTCCTTTGATAGGCTATAAAGAGGGTTGTTCTACACATGCAAGATGGACACCCAAAATGGAAAAACCACCTTTGGAAAGAGGTTATGAAGGTCACAAAACCCACCAAAAAAGGCCGGAAATATGGCTTTGAAACATGCAAATAAGGGGTCCATTGTAAGGCCAAAAATGCTAGTAAACAAGACAAGGGGTGAGAGGGTCACCCCTCTCTGATTTTGATGCTCAAAAACACATAATCACCACTGAAAATATTCTGGATTTCAGTGTTCAAAAGGGCCAACAAAGCTCAACACAAAGGCCCTAATGCATGGCTCAAAACAAAGGGAAATGAAGCATGCAAGGGGGTAGACGACCCCCAACAGAAAAATGGTCTTAAGAAACCATGTTAAGGACCTCAAAATAAAACTTTTTTTAGTTTATGACAAAGCCCAAAAATGCTTGCAAATAGAGCTAAGATATGAAGCAAAACAATGATAAAAATAGGGAAATAGTGTTACCCTTGTAGCCAAAGAGACCAGCAACTTCTGGACCAAAATAGCACACCTTCAACCTCTAAAAACCAGCTCCAAGGTGGTTAGGTTGATAATGGAGGTGTTAGGCTAAGAGGTAGTGGTGTGAAGGGGCCAAGAAACTAATTCTTTTTAAGCCTAAAAGGAGAGACAAAGAGAGACATATGGTGTATGTCCAAAACCAATTTCTAAACCTTTCTAAATGAGGGAGAGGGTTTCTCTTATAGAGGAACAAGGGTCCAAGCTTCTTCAAGAAGCTTGTGTAAAGGTCCAAGCTTCTTGAGGAAGCTATAGCAAAAAGGGTCAAGCTTCTTGAGGAAGCTAGAGTCAAAGGGTCAAGCTTCCTCAATAAGCTAAAAAAGGTCAAGTTTCTCTAAGAAGCTTAGAGCAAAGGGCCAAAATTCTTTAAGAAGCTAAAACAAGGTTGCAAATCCTCCATACGCGCATATGGAGGATGCAATTTGTGCCCTCCAGCTGGCACAGTTGGCACACACTCACAGAGACAGAAAAGGGGGAAGTCGGTTGACCAGTTCAAATGGTCAGACGACCACCTAGCCTAGTCGGCCGACCAGTTCAAAAGGGTCAAGTTGATGAATGGTGGTCGGCAGCCTCAATTGGTGGTCTCCCAATTCAATGCAAGCCAGTGGTGTGGTGGGAGACCAATAATTGTGGCTCAAAAGTCAGGGAGACCAGTTACCTGATAAGAAAAACTAGCCGCCGGGAAAAAGTGGTCTTCAAGAAGAAAAGGTGGTCTCCCACCCTAGTACCACCTTCCAAACAATGAAAATAGGGTCCATGCCAAAAACGAACCAAGACGGATGCAAAACGAGGGTTCGGGGGCCAAAATGCGCAGCCGGGTGCCCCGAACACTGACTGTTAAGTATCGAGAGCGGCGCGCGACCATGAAGGTGGTCTCCCGGGCCACAGTGTCCCTCTAGGGAGAGGAAACAACTGTGTACCAAAAAACCAAAGCAAACGGAGAAAGTTAAGCAGTCCCGAACCGAGGCGCACGGCCGACGGCTCCGAAAATCAAAAACTGGTCTCCAAACGGGAACAGTGGTCTTCGACCACAAAATGTAGCCTACGGCCACTGAGAGATGGTCCACGAGACCTCTCCCTCTCTTCAGGAAGAGAAAATAGAACTTGGTTCACAAACCGAGACAAAGCACAAAAGAGTTCCGAAGTCCGGAGGCAAGACTCTCAGCCGAGACTCCGTAACCTCAGAATGAGCACAACATGCGCAATCACCGAGCGCTCAATCGATGACGTCTGAGTCTTAAGGTCAGTCAAAAATGGGGTGTCTACAGTGTTATGCATTGTTACCTTGTTTGTGGCCTAGCATGCATGCCATCTTGCCTAGGTATTTGAGCCCTCATCTCAGCATGCTTAGGTCCTTATTTTGACCTATTTAAGCTCTGTCCATCCTTAGTTCATGCATTTTTTCCATGAATTGCATGCCTCCTTTGTAGTCCTCTTTGATAGCTTCATGCTTTAAGGACCCTACCATGCTATGCTTGAGTTGATTGAATGATTTGGCATCATTTCTTACCTCATTTCAGTGCATTTAGTGTTGCTACACTTCCATGCTTTTCACTCTTTTAGTGCTCTTGAGAGTTGCACCTTAGTGCCTCAATTGGTGAGCCAATTGGCATGCATGTTTGTATGTGTTTTCGATGCCTTCATTTTAGCATTATGGCCACTGATTTGGACATGGCTAAGGCCTATCCATTTTGGTTTAAGTCCATTGTGCATTGAGTATGCCATGTGGTTCATAGCATTGAGAATGCCATGTTGTTGCATGATTGATTATTGCATTTGTGCATGCCATGTCCATTGCCTAGCGTATGCTAGTTACCATGTGCATTATGTACACTAGTTGTCATGAGCATTGTATATGCCATGTAGGTCATAGCATTGTGTATGCTAGTATGTTAGTTGCATGTTTTCATGCTTGTCCCTTGCATCGTATTCATATGCTTGTTTCATTGCATTGAATATTTGCATGCTTGAGCCACATTGCGTATGCCATGCAATGTTATTTGTTGCATCGTGTTTGGAATAGGAGTTAGTCCAAACATGGGAAACGAGGGACGTTTCATACTCGAAGTGATGAAACGTGCCTCAATTCTCGGTCGCCGACACTCATGACTATACATGATGGAGTTTTAGGCTTTATGTGTTAGTGTGTGCATTCATTTCATATTGAGTTGTGCAATTTGGCTCCTCGGCCATCATGCATCGAAATGCGTGATTGGTGGCCCAAGGGTCAAGAACCATACCTCCTTGAGCTTATGTAATGAGAGGGAGGGCGGTTGTGCATACATGTGTTGCAAATACTTTGCCATGCCCCTTTCTTGCTCTTTGTTGCAGCAAACTGAAGTCTGGCAGCAGAAACTGGTCGGCCGACCAGATAAAGTGGCTGACCTACCACTTTTTCTAGTTTTTAGCATAAAAAGTGGTCGGCAGGTGGTCTCCAATGCCAACAATTGGTCGGCAGCATCCCTACAGGTTCCCATGGTGGAGTTTCATCCTTCTGAAGCTTTGTGCAGTGTTCTGGGACCAGTTGCAAACATAGGTAAATCAGGGCATCGCGATAGATTTTCGAGCGAGGCAATTCGAGCATGCATGCATCCCTCGTCACGAGGCCATTTTAGTACTTTCGTTAGCTTAGAATGTGTATTTGTTTTAATTTGGTTGTGTAATAATTAATTAGCTAGAATAGTTAGTTAATTAGTCGGTTCTGTATTATTTATTCGGACCCTCCGTCGAGAGGGCACAACTGTTGTAAATAAGTGTGTGTGTGTGTGTGATGCATGTCTTTCAACCCCCATTTCTTTCTCCCTTTTATTTACCAGCTTACGATGGTTAGTCTTAGGGCATGTTTCAATTAGCATCCTTCTGCTCGCATGTTTGCATCCATTCATCTGACTTGCATGCACCGGGCTCGGCGCATCATACTAACTACATTGTATTTTCAATTCCTGTTTGAATACATGTATCAAATTGCATTTCACATGACATTTTAGAATAGCCGAGCCAATCTTAGTTGCATTTTGTATGTGTTGCATTAGGCATTCTTGACATAGCTAGGATCATGAATTGATTTCTAACATAGCTTTTGCTTTGGCTCGGAGTACTCAGTGAGTGTTTATGCTTTAGCATCCTTGCATGTGTGTGAGTGACTGCCATGATAGCATGCTTGCCATGAGGCTAACTGCTCATGTGATATAACTGCCTGAATGCTTGTGGGTGAAGGTTGGATTACTTGAATTGGAACAATTCATTGATTGCGAGTTTTATGCAAATTTGAGAGTGGCAAATCACCATGTTTTCTAAGACCACTTGAGGGTGGCAAAATCCGCATTTTAACCTACTTGCGAGTAGCAAACCCATTTAAAAAACAAACATGAGATGTTTTGTTCCAACTTAGGAGATCCAGTCTATACTTGTATGTTGTGCACATCACATAGTAATTCTAGGTTAATAACCGGAATAACAGCACACGTGTTTTCAAAAACAAGATATCATGTTAGTAAAGGCCGATCTTTGATCGGGAGAGCGGGGATGCTCATTGCATGACCTTCCCCTCTTGTACCCAAGTTCCCGAGCCGAGGCAACTTTGGTGATGACAGACACGTGGCCTTAGGCACGAGTCAGGGTTTCCTAAATTTTCCAAAACAAAAACATTTAGGTGGCAACTCTGTATCTGGCAAAGTAGTCCATGTTTGGCACTTCTTTATTTGGGCCCAAAAAAGAGTGCCTAGACAACGTTTCCTTATTTGGCAGAGGTAAATAATTAAGCATACACATACATACTTTCTTGCAAAGTAAGCAATTTGAAAGAAAGCCAGCAACATTCTCCTTAACATACCTTGAAAATCTAAGAAGTATGATATACAAGTCTATAACGTTGTTCTCCTCCCGATAAATACTTGCCTGGACGTTAGAAATTTCCCAACAGATAAAGTACAGTACATCAGAAAGATAAGAGGGGAGGAAAATCAACAATATGATTACGACTTTATTTTGCTTAGGAAATTATATACTAACACTACCAAATTCAAGAATGTTTATGCTACAGAAGCAATCTTCAATATAACAATAGACGAAATTTTTTAATGTACTTGAACAAGTAGAAATATATTATTCACTTCAGAATCAATATCACTTTGCTAAAGCATCCTTTTATGAACAGAAGTGTCATTTGATACTGCTACCCTCCAGTGAACATACTTTCATTTTTTATGAATATTCCCCAATTGTCTAGGTCCACAGCAAACAGAACATAGCCATCCAAAGAAAAAAAGTAACTGCATGAATATCTGCATCACTAGAAAAAAAATAATAATAATAAAAAATACAGAAGCACATCAACGATCACAGAATAGATCCCCATATGCTGGATGAAACTTCTTTTTCTCTCATTAGTTCACTGCCAAAATGCAGCTTTACTTATTACAATGAGAACTATATCCAAAGTGAAACTATTTCACTGCGGAGAGACTATTTCGCTGAGCAATTACAAAGTAAAAAAATAAATAAAAATCCCCAATGTATGACTTGATGGGTATTGCCCAAAATCTGATAAATAATCATCAAAGGGAAGCAAATAAATTATTTACTATTGCAATCAGAGCATCAAATTTCAATGAAAATAATCAGAATACATGAGATAACATACACAATCAATGAGTAGCCATACATGAAAAGACATAGACAATCAATGGATTAGGGCTTTGAAACTAATGAGAGAGAAAGGAAAAAGAGGGGGAAAGGTATCAAACCCTAAAATCAAACCTATTTACAACATGAAACCCATAAAACTCTAGTAATGAAACCACTTCAAACAAACCCATTTCAGAAATGAAGACAAAATTAAACTGAATGGGTAGAATAAACAACCCTAGAGCAAGAGTTCACAGTTGGGGAAATAGAAGAAGGGGTAGAGAGAGAGAGAGAGCGAGTTAGAGGGAGTGAGAGCGATACAGAGAGGGAGAGAGCAAGAGAGCGAACCTGTTAGCGGCGGTGGTGGTGTTGATTTGCGGCGTACGGGGACCGACGGTGCTGAGGATGCGCAGTCGTGAGGTTTGTTGGTGATTGATCTGTGTGAGAGAGAGGTTTTGTGGTTGTGTATACACAGAGAGGCATGTATGAGACAGAGGCACGAATATGAAATCATTCCGTCTATAAAATTTAGAGCTTTAGCGACTAAATGTTATATTTGTCGGAAAATGTTAATATATAAGGAGTAAATAATTTTATACAGCGACTACTTTTTTTAGTCACCACAATTGAATAATTGCCGACTAATATAATTTTTGGTTGCCAATTCCACAATTTTTAGCCACTAAAATTTTTTCTCATCAAATTTGCTCTCCAAAAGTGTAATTTCTTGTAGTGGCCCAAGCAGTCTCACAATCGAAGAGAGAGCACCGTTTCCAAGTTGAAATCTTGCCGCTGCCGAAGAATGAAAATCGTACAGGTTGACGAGGGGTTTACCTATCGTTTGAAAAAAAAAAAGAAAAAAAAAAGAGGGAATTTTGAGACGAAACTTTCCACGCCTCAATTTTTAGAGGCAGACCACCAAAAAAATATAAATAAATAAATAAAAACAATTTTAGTTTTTTTTTTAATTAAAACTAATTTGAGAAGTATAAAAATCAAAAATATATTTTTAAAATTTTAAAAATTATTTATGACCTCCTAAAAGACAAAATTATACAAAAACAATAAGTATTTTTTTATTTTTCACCATTTTTTTTTTTTTTAGTTTTTTAGAAAAAAAAATTCTGAAACAAGTTTCTGAAAATAAAACCAAACATATTGAAATTGATAATCTAACTACATTCTTTGGAAAAGTTTAGATTATCTCAAATTAGCCATCTCAACTTAAGAGTGTGTTTGGGCTTGATAGGTTCATTTTGTGATCTAATTCGATGATCACTTTAATTTTACAATTCAATAACTAGAATATTTAAAACTCTTTGAAAAATTATAATAAAAACACAAATCAAATCACCTCATTTCAGCCAAACTTTTACCGACGAATAGTGTTATCATCGCTAAATGTTTAACTCTTTGCCCACGCCAACTTGTAGTCACCAAAGTAAGCATACTAATAGCGACACTTATTGTGTTGCTAAAAAATATTTCGCGTAACTAAAATTTTTGAAATTTTGGCGTCAACCAACAATTTTGACACCTAATGAATGTTATGCTTTTTTTATCAACGGTAGTAAATTACGTTAGTAAAGGTCTACTTTTACCAACGAAATTGATCACTGTGTCGCCAAAAATATAGTTTTGGCTATGAAAATTGACGTCGTCGCCAAAAGTGTAATTTCTAGTATGCTTCATAGCTTTACGTCATTTTTACTAATCAATTTTTTATATTGTGTTCTATCTAATATTTTGAAGGCATACATTTCATGGAGTGGCTTTACTATGGTATACAATGGTATACGATACCAGTAGGGCATGTTTGATTGGTTGGAGTAATAGTGATGGGATTAATAATCCATGGGATTAACCATTGGATTGACTGTCCAACTCAATTAGGGCTTGTTTGATTAGGTAGACTATAACATAGGATTGTGATTATTAATTCATAGGGCCCACATTCCATTGTTTGGTAGCAAATTTTATTATTCGAATGAGATTCCAATAGTCATTCTATCCAACAAAATTGATGATTTTTTTTTGTTTAATCTTACAACTTATAAATATAATTGGGATAATGAATTTTTATATCTATTGCAAAATAAACTTGGGTAATAGGAAATTATGTATCTCAGTTAGGGGTGGGCGCGGGTCGGTTGCGGCCACGGAACTTCTAATCCGCCATCCGTCCGCCAGATTGGCGGATTAGAAAAAATCAATCCGCATCCGTCCGCCAATCCGACGGATGTGGATTGAGCGGATTGGTGGATGGATGCGAATTAGTTTGGCGGTTTAAAATTTTATAAATTTTTAACATAATTCAACTTGTGCACTTTCTCCACAAAAAAAAAAATTATAGTCAATGACTTAATAGAGTATTACAATCACTGCGTGCCTCATCCAAAGACAGAAAGTTTGAAACTTTATCCACATGTTACAATCACAACATGTCTCATCCACATAAAGTATTATAATATGTGGTTCTTAAAATATAAAAACAATTCAAACCACCAAAACCATGAACAGAGCAGTAGTAGAGATTGTATGCTTCTGTATTGTTACATCCATATCTGTTTTTGAAAACAAAAACCAACCAACATATATAATCTTTTTTATTTATTATTTTTAGAGTTAGATTTAAAAACTAAAATATATAGATAAATAATACATTTATTTTTTTCAATTCAAAAAATATATTTAAGTTGAAAATTCTTTTTCAACATAATATATTCAACAGAATATTTAAATTCTTTTTCAATTGAAAACACAAATAAAATATATAAACAAATTGAAAACACAAAATCTTACAAATTACTAGGGGTGCTCGGCGGTTTGGCGGTTCGGTTGCGGCCAAATGAACCTCAAATCCGCCATCCGTCCAAAACTAGGCGGATTGGAAAAAATCAATCTGCAACCATCCACTCGTCGTCACGCATCCGTCCAAAATGCGGCAGATCGGTTCGGTTCGGTCGATTTGGGCGGATCGGTATATCCGCTGCTCACCCCTAATCTCAGCATTCCAACTAGATAACTAATCCTATACTAACCCCATGGATTGTTAATACCCTCGCTATTAATCCTTGTTAATCAAAAAAAAAAACATAAAAATTTAACTACTATACAATTAGAAAGATAATTAAGTAAATAATTGTGCCTAGACCGAAATCCGGCGCTAACTCCCAAACTGTCACGCCCCAATTTTTATTACTCGAAAACGTTACCAAAGCCTTAAAATTAGGTCCATCTCTCTCTCTTTTTTCTTTTTTTCTTTTTTTTAACACAAACAAATATCTATTACACTTGGGTAATAGGAATACCGTGATACATGCTCTTTCTCTCTCAATGAACATTACAATGACAATCATACATGTCAATCTCCTATTGTGCTACAAATAAATAAATACAAAATAAAAATCCACTTCCTTTACATCTACTATGAAGTTATACAAATGGACTCAAGAACTCCATACATCTTCAATCAAATAATCCAAACTTTCTTCTTGTAAAAAGATAAAACAACAACGGGGTGAGCACTAATGCCCAGTAAGAATCTCATAGTTCTCAATCAATAACTAACACATAGATAGAAATGATCATGCATGCAGGGTGATATCATATAGTAGAGTGATGTTTTATAATTTCAAAATATCATAAGTAGAGTACCTTTTCTCAAAAACTATTTGAACACTTTCAAGAAAAACCTTCAGCCATCAAAAAATCATCCCTTAACTTTAGAAAACCATTGATCCGTGTGAAACAAACATATTTAAGAAACAACATTATTTAAAAGTTATTAACCAATTCCCAAGACATTTCTTATTTAATTTTCCATTTTTAATACTCCTCTTTTCCTTTCATTCTTCTTTTCTACTCTTCATTTTTAATTTAAAACCCCATAACTTCAAGTTCAGGTTCCTTTCTGACTCGCCAACAATTCTCCTATACTCAATTCACACCGTTAACTACACCCGCAAAGTTTCATTTCAAGATAACACAATATTAATAACCCCTTTCAATCCAATCCTTCATTAAATTATAGAACAACGCTCACAATTTACTTTTATTAACACAACTACTTCATTAAGTTTACCATCATAGTCTATAATCCTCATATCTATTTTTGGTTTCCATTATTTACAAATAATGCCTATGCACGTTTCCTCTTTAAACCAAATTACACATCAATATGTAATTTCACAAGTTCATCACAAGCAACAAATAACATCATCAACTTAACACACTTCTCAACACATAGCTTAACACAATCCACCTTTTGCCGACTTACTACGACGGGATAGCGGGCACCCAATTCATAACATTTTCCACCTTTCGCCGGCTACTATACGGTGGGAAGTGAACTCCCAAAAATCATTTTCATAAAAGCCATTTTCTTTCAAAAACCAATTTTCAACTTTTTAAAACCATCTCCCACATTTGCCGGCTACCATACGGCGGGATGTAGGCACCCAAAACATTTTCGAAAACCAACCATTTTTATAATTAATTTCCATGTTCTTCTCAAAGATTTCTATTTCTCAATAAAAGCTTGCAATCTCAACACATTTCAAAACTTTCAATTTTAGACAAAGGCGTGGTAAATACAACACTGGTAATCCCTCGGCTAGTGTCTGCAAGTAGGCTCAACAAGCACTACCAAACTGTCATTTTTACCGGTGCTAACCGGAAGGCTCGACACCTATCCGCGCTGCTTTCGGGTCTTTCACCCTGGACACTCAGGCCAACTTATCAAATTCATCTACACCCCCTATCCGGACTTACTACCGTATTTAGCCCATACACATTTCCATATTTCTCATACAAACCATTTTCTGTCATGAATGCAAATCTCTTCGATTTAGAACCACAATGCACAATAATAAATGAAATGATATGCAAATGCAAATGCAAAAATTTCCATGATTCATAACATTCCTTTTCAAGTCAACCATATACCATCAATTTCCTCATTTCACAAGTCATAGCAACATGGTCTCATCAAGGACTACACATGAAGTTTTCAAAACCATTTCTCTAACTCAATATATTTAAAAGATTACCATTCTTGCAAAACACATTATGGAATTTACACCCATTCATCTTCTATTCAAAGAAATAAAGGAGTTTTATGAACATTTCCATGTTCTCCAAAAATCTCTAAATTTCTAGGGTTTTCACCAAAAACCAAACATTTCCCATCCCCATAAAGAAACCCCATTGAATCATTCTCTTGAGTTGAATGACTAAACAAGCCCACTAGGAATTTAATAAAATGATTTGAGATTAAACCCATTTCAAAATAATAAGCCCAAAACCCGCCAAAGGTAGGGCCCATTTGAACCCCAAAATCTGAAAAAAAAAACACGCAGGGGTCGACCATTCGAGCAAGGGGGTTGACCCTTTAGGTAGAAAAGACAATCTGACACAAGCAAGGGGGGCCCGACCCTTAGACAAGAGGGGGTCGACCCTATCTTTCAGCAACCAACACAAAAATTCTGCAACATAAGAGGGTCGA